CTGATGAAATAAAGCACTTTGGCATTATATAACAAAGTTATATACCACATACATATATTACAGTATTCTGTTATGTTTCCTATAATGAATAAACAACTATGTTATTGTTTGTGTAAAAAATAACCTTGAAAAAACAAGAAAGAAAACAGAAAATAGTATGTCTACCATCACTAATATTGACACCAATAATAATAATAGTGCCGCTAGGTATGGTTTATCAACAGACTAAAGGTAGTAACCTTTCATTGAGCTAAAAATACAATTTGCAAGTAAAAAAAAATGCAAATGCTGTGATACAAAGTAAAAGAAATACTTTGATTACAGTTCACACAATCGATGCCTAATAATAATAATAATAATAATAATAATAATAATAATAATAATAATAATGATAATAATGATTATAAAACATGGACTGACCAGTTACAGTCCTAAAAACATCAATGGGAAGATCCAAACAAACAATACTAAGTAAATTTCAACTTCACCCCATTGCACAAGCGAGTGGCTATCAGGACTCAGTGGCCGAGTGGATAACGCGATGGCGTTTCAAGCGAGAGTTACTAGGTCCGAGTCCCAGAATGGACATCAACACTGAGATGCAGGTACATCCAGCTGACGAGTCACAAATAGAACGAAACGCGTCAAACTGGATTCCACTGCTAGCCACTATCCATCTTTGCTTACCATGCTTGTGAATTTAGGCTATATCGATGCAATACGCACAGTATGCACATATGCCAATTAGAAACTGACCAGTTGCAGTCCAAAAACATCAATGGGAAGATTCAAACAAAGAATATTAAGTTGATTTCAAACATGGTAGTGTTTACGGAAAGTTCCAGATACACAACCTTTAGCAAGAAAAAAAGCCCATCTTCATCTATCTTACATTCAAAAATGAAGAGATTTCGAGTGGGATCGATAAAAGTATCCTTACAGTCCAACTATATTCATGATATGACATCAAATCCATCGAAAGTGGATCATTACATGTCTAAAGTCATCTCTAAATGTAGTAATTTTGAAAGCGAGTACATAAGAAGGACTGAGAGAGAGATATCTATCTCTACAAAATTTTCCGAACATATTCCTTGAAAGTTATGTTTGAAAGGAAATGAAGTATACACAAATGTGACTACTAGACATTTAATCGATAACATTAACAAAGTAGACATCACCATAAAATACTTTCAGGATGATCTTAATATGAAGAAAGTACGATAAACTTCACACATTACCATGAGAAGATAGTTGTATAAACTATCTTAACGATTATGTCGTTTCGAATACAACCTCTATAATTCAGTCGGTCAGTTACAACGTTGGACAAGGCACATATATGAATCGGTCCAAGTTGTCACACCTCAACAGTACAACAAGATGAATATCATATAAGAATATGATGCAGGGAAAAAGAATTAGTTCATAGAAAAAAAGGTATAAAGTAATTTTAATCTCACGATTTAATGGGAAGAAAAAGAGTATGTATACCTACGCCATTGTGATCAATTCTGAGCCATGTCACCTAGAGTCTTTAACTACTGGTTACAATAGTCGCACCGACCCCAACCAAATAGTTTGCATCTACTAAAAATGGTTCATACTAAGGTTTGTAATAAAACATTTTTATAATCATATAACTAATGTTAATTGGAAATAACGAGAGAAGCCTAAAAGGTCAAAGTATGATATACAGATGGCATTTAGTTGACCAATCAGAATTAATATAACGCTTTAGCTAGTTTGCACGAAATTTAATGTACACTGACAGATCATGTATACTTTATTATTAACCAAATTAAAACTGGTTATTAAGATGCTTTAACTCAATAAAAACGTCTATTGTGCTATCAAAAAGCTAATAATATATTGTGTTTAAGCTAAATTACATAAAATACCTCCTACTTCTAAGGCAAATAGTCTGTTAAAGTTCTAGATGTAGTTTATTGAATAAATAAGTGTTTAGTGAAGCTAGATAATATTATTTATTTATTTATTTAAACACATAAATATTGGTACAAAGAGGCACCAGTTATATATGCACCACATAAATCTCATTCGACTTGTGTGAGGGCTGTGATACTGCCAAGGTGTCCAAACCGAAGCAGGTGGTTTTCTTAGGGGACCACACACCGAGCCTTTGACCGAAAGATCTGATCCACAAGGCAGTGGAGCATCGTAAGGAGATGCAGTTCCATGGTAGTCGGTGACCAACCATTGATTTATACGCCATTCGTTCCATCAGGATCCTGGAGCACATGTGCACCATTGGTTTGGAATCAGGGTTTTCCAACTCCCCTAGGTGGACTCTCTGTGTCTACCAACCTGGTTAAAGCGCCGGATATTCGCTTTCCGTCCTCTCAATTTCGTAAACAACAATAATGTCACGAGAAGGCAGTGAGTAGGACTTCCCTATCAGAGGCTATATGAGAGAATTTCGAGAGGGAGAGCTGACTCTCCCCACTCTCTGCCTTACTAGGGCATTTGATAAAAAAAACCTGACCCAAATTTGTAAACCTAACTCAAAATTACAATCTAACTCTACATAATCCTAACCCCTTTGGATTATAATTGATGCTAATTAGTGAAGGAAACTCCATGGGGTGACAACCCTAACTTACAATTTTTAGGGATTTTAGATCCCTAGAACTCACTTGGTAAATGCCTTATTATTGTAATTTTACTTTAAAATTTTGAATTTTTTGTTTCCACAAGAAAAGCGCTTATTTTCACCTTCATATCGTATTTCCCACTTAGGAGTATCTTAAATGCTATTGGTTCGTTGTATCTTTTAATGTGCTACCTTTTAACGCTTCTCAAGGACAATTTTATGCTGTATATATACATTTGATTTGTGTCTGTTATGGTTGCTTGTGCTTCTGGCTGCTTGCAGAATATATTTCACCACTTCAAACTTGGACTTTTCACTCTAGTCAGCGGTGCTAGGACGCGTCAGAATAGCTAGCATATTGGTCTTTGGTCACAGAGTCTTGTTTCCTTCTTAGATTAGGGAACTTGTACTCGCTTCAAACATAACAAAAATTGGTGACAAAGCTAGTGCAAACATAACATCAACACTAATCTGACTCGTAATATATATGTACACATATGTAAACTTGACCTTTTTTCCTTACTACGAGGATTGATTTGACATAAAAGGATTATTTATTTACATCAAAGCTGTTATTATCCAGCTGTTATTTCGATGCTTTGTACTGTTAGTTGTTTTATAAATAAACAGTTTCCCGATCGGCTGATAAGCTACCCAAGATCGTTACAGTATAATATAGTTTTACCTAATAATACTAATGCTAATACCAATACTACTAATACTAATACTACTAGTAATAATAGTAATCAATAAATAATCCCAATCCACCGGTGAAATGCAAATCATTTTCAGTTGGGCGACACTCATATTTCGACATAAAATAACAAAAATATCTATCATTCTAAACGTGTGCTTATACTCTTTCTGTGAATACAATGCATTATGATAAAGTAAGCACCGAGACATTGAACCCACTCAAATCAAGGTGGATGAAATAAAACTTGAACCTATGATCGACTGGTTGGCCATCAAATGGTTTAATCAGTGACATATAATTAATTTAGCCTCAGTCAGTCACAATGTAGAACTTCATACGTACGTATATCAGTTCGAGTTGCCATACCACATTAGCACAGAGATGCAGTTGTCGATTCAAATCCCATAGTGGTAGAATTAGTAAGAATATAAGCCTACTTAAAGCATTAAAAGATATTTAAATTAATGTCAATATCTGAAGTTCTATAGAATGATAATTGCACATTGAATACCTCTCCATCTCAGACGGAATCAAAGTACGTTCAAGTTCAAATAGTAAAACGCAGTACCAGATCTATCAAGATTAGAGATATTCCGATAAAATTAACCAGTAATCACAACCACATATACTATTATATGTTTACTGATGAACAAGCTCTATGCTTGGAAGCCTAGTGAGGAGTGATGTTCAGTAAAATTCAACTGTTTCAAAATTCAGATAAATCTCAACATTCGAAACAAATGATAATTGCACAGCATTATGAATTGACTAAAGTTAGATAACACAAACTAATGTTTGAATCTTCAGTGTCCGCCACAAAACCTGAATATCCTGGTTTTCAATCCTTTGTGATGGGTAGGTCGTGGATGTGAACCATCATTCAGGTATCTAATACTTCAATGGAGCAGCTGTTTAATGCTTCCGTACTTTCACTGGTCATCAGACTAGGGACGAGTATATACTGCGCAGCAGTTCGCTCTGTTCTACTTTACGGCTGTGAAATGTGATAATTAAGAGTAGAGGATACTCGTTAGTTACTAGTATTTGACCACAGATGCCTTAGAAATATTGCTCGCATCTGCTGAGATCACCGGGCAAGTAATAGTAAGGTTAGATGCAGGGTATTAGGAAATGATGGTAAATCAGTTGATGAGGTTATGAATCTTCATCAAACGAGATGGTTAGACCACGTGTTACGTATGCCTGAACACCGACTGCCACGACGCGCTATGCTGACTAGTGTAGGGGATGGTTGGAAGAGAGTTAGGGGCGGCCAAACCAAAACGTGGAATCAGTGCTTGAAGTCATCAACCTCTAGTCTCAGCCATGTTGGTAGATGCAGACTACCGTAACCAATGGTTGGAGACCGTGTAACATGGCTCAGAATCGATCACAATGGCATCCTTATATACAACCTTTCTTTCATATGTTACCACCATTACATTAACTACTTCTATGAATCCGGTGTTCATCTTGTTGTGCTAACGAGGTATCGCAACTTGGACCGATGCATATATGTGCCTGGTCCTACGTTGTAGCTGACTGACTGATCAAACTAGTCATTTAATGAAGTCTACAAAAAGACGATTTACTTTTTTTCTACAAGAAAAGTAGATGGAAAGAGAGAAACAATCAAGCATAAATCTACTATTCCCTTTCCTTGTTACCTTCTATACCTATAGAACTTACCTCTCCATCATCAATGGTGATTCACTGACATTTGCTAAAGCGGCAACAATGGCAGCTATCACACGCCTTCCATTTGGACTAGCACTGCCAATCTCATCAGAATTCTGTAAATCTTGTCGATTATTATTATTATCACGATTGTTGTTATAAGTTAATAGAAGTGGATGAATTTGATTATGGCCAATTTGTGGTTTAAATGAATTATGTAAATTTGATGATGAAGAGTATGATGAAAAATTTGATACAGTCGAAGCAGTATTACGTGCAACCATAATATCAACTAATTCTTGATCCATTTCACCTTCATCATCCTCATCAACATCCTCGACAACTTCATGATTATTAGTATTATGATGTGTAGAAGAGAAATGAACATTGGCATCGGTTATTGTTTGATATTCATCTGAAATTTGATTTTTCGATGAATTATTTATTGTCATAGTTGTTGTAAATGATGAAAGACAATGTGAACCGGGATCATTATTTATATAATTTAAACTAGTAGGAATTAATTCTGTTGAATTAGGACGACCAATTCTACTATGCACTGGGACTATTGATGTATAGAAAATAAGAAATAAACACACAAAGAATGAAAGAATGTGTACATATCAGTAATGAAATTGTAACATCATCAATTACAACTAGTATTCGATCATAGGTGTCTTCGAAGCATTACAAGTATATCCTGGGACCACCGAGCAAGTAATGCAGTTGTTAGGAAACGGGTACTAGATAAGGACGGCAAATCAATTCATGAAGTAGTGAAACTTCATCAGTTGAGATGGCTGAGACACGTGTTACTTATGCCCGACTACCGACTGCACCAACGTGCAATGCTTTATGGTATAGGAGTAGGTTGAAAGGAAGCTAGGGGCGGCCAGACCAAAACATGGCACAAATCCATGAAGTCACTGACAACTGCATTAAGCCATGTTGGTAGGTGTAGACTACCTGGTTTGGATTCGCGATATGATATCAACCGATGGTTAGAGACCTTGAATGACATGGCTCAAAATTGTTTGCAATGGCAAAGGTGCAATCACTCTTTGTGTTCTACCAAATCCTAATCTTCTGAATTCCTCATGTCTCTATCATTTTTCTCTTTCCAAATTTATTTCACTGTATTATACTCCTTCCATAACATCTTCAAACCCTAATCTTTCACATAATGCTTATACTCTTACTACTTCTACCACTATGGGATTTGAATAGACAACTGTATCTCTGTGCTATTGTGGTATGGCAACTCGAACTGATGTACGTACGTACGAAGTTCTACGTTGTGACTGACTGACTGACTGACTGAACATCATCAATTAAGATGTAGTAAGTGATAAGGTCTACGGATATGGACATAAACCGATGAAATGAAAAACAGTGAAGTTTCTGACTTCTCATTCTTTAGTCAGCGGAGGTGGGACAAAGTTCTTTAGTCATAAGCCATGTTTATAATGAGCATGTACACACGTCGATTCAAGTTTTCACACTGATGGAGTTGCTCTGATGTTATCCAAACAAGCACGAAATGCACTTATTAGGTGCGAATCTCATGGATCCAGGATAACGATGTTATCCAATGTTATGCATTTACCAATGATAACAATGACGACAATAACGATCACTTCTATGAGAAGCTGCAATCGATCATAGCGATGTGCCCAAGAAAGGACCTCGCCATCCTGATAGGAGACCTTAACGTCAAAGTCGAAATGGACGACACCGGATATGGAGATATTTTGCCCCCAAATGCCCTGGTACGGCCGAGAGCGGACAGTCCGCTCTCCCTCTCGAAATTCTCTTACATGGACACGCGTATATAGCCTCTGACAGGAAAGTCCTACTCATTGCCTTCTTGTTATATCCCCCAGTGAATTACGAATGTTAACTTTTAGGTCTATTTATCGACCAATGTATTATGCCTATTTCCTATTGTACAATTGTTACGTAACTAAACTATTCATATTCGTGTTTCTCTTATCATGAGCTTTATTTTGATCTTTGATTTATTATCATACGATTCTTGAGTTATAATCAGTTTGTTGATTACTTTGGTTTGTATAAAAACCCAGTATGTTTGTAAATAATGATTCATACCACTGAGACTGTTATTGGTGTTTTGGACTTAACTGGCTGGGCTAGGCAGATCGCAGGACCGGTTAGCACTCTAGTTTGCTCGTACGGGTTTCGTGTCGCTGTTCCAATCGACAATTCGCTGCTCCATGTTAGGCGGTCTTATCGCGTCACACATTAGCAAGGCATCCACTCGGCCACAAGATATAACACTTCTCACACCAGGGGTGTTGTTTATGAAATTGAGAGGACGAAAAGGGAATGTTCGGCGCTTCAACCCGCTCGGTGGACACGGAAAGTCCACCTCGGGGAAAACCCTCATTCCAAATCAATGGTCACATGGGTTCCAGTATCCTAAGGGAACAAATGGCGAATGAATCAATCGTTGGTCACTGGCTACCATGGAACTGCATCTCTTGACGATCCTCCACTGCCTTGTGAATCAGACCTTTAAGTCAAAGGCTCCGGGTGTGGCCCCCTAACAAACAACCTGCTTCGGTTTGGGAACCTGGGCAGTATCACAGCCCTCACACAAATCGAATGAGATTTGTGCGGCGCATATATATCTGGTGCCCCCTTGTCCTAATATTTATGTGCTTAAATAAATAAATAAATATGAAGGTATCATGGGACGGCAGGGACTGACTGGGAGAAAGGAACGAGAATGGAGACAGATTTTCAAATCTATGTGCATTCAACAAAATGGTTATGGGTGACACAATGATCGACCACAAACGCATACACAAAGCTACGTGGGTCTCGCCGGATCACACTACAGAGAATCAGACCGATCATATTTGCATCAGTAAAAAATACGGAAAGTTGATGGAAGACGTGAGAACCAGGAGAGCAGCTGGTATAGCTTCATATCACCACCTGGTTGTGGTCAAGATGAAACTGAAGCTAAAAAAGCATTGGACAACTGGACAAATAGCATTCTAAGGTTCAATGCAGTCTTCCTTTGAGATATTAACAAACTCAAACAATTCAAGATAACTCTCAACAACAGGATCCATGCTCTACAGGATCTACTAAAAGGAGAAATTACGATGAAGGACAACTGGAAATAGATCAAAGAAGCATTAACTCCAACGTGTCAGGAGGTTTGGTTCTGGGTCGCAAGAAGTATCATCATAAAGAATAGATCTTTATCGAAGCCCTAGACAAGAAGATAGCAATTAACAACAGCTGAACACGAGCAGAGAAAATCGAGGTAAAAGCAGAGTACACAGAAGCAAACATGCAAGTGAATAGAAGCATTAGAGCTGATAAGCAGAAATACATGGAAGACCTACGAACGACAGATAAAAAAGCTGCAAGAGAAGGAAATATGAAACAGCTATATGACACAACGAAGAAACTAGTAGGGAAGTATAGTAAACCAGAGAGACCGGTCAAGGACAAAGAAGGCAAGCCAATAACTGAAATTCAAGAACACAGGAACAGATGGGTATATTACTTCGAGGAACAGCTAAATAGACCAGCCCCATTGAATCCACCGGATATCGAAGCCGCACACACAAGCCTTCCTGTAGATGTCACTCCACCAACCATTGAAGAAATCAAGATAGCCATCAGACAAATCAAGAAGGGGAAAGCAGCAGGAACTGACAATATACCAGCTGAAGCACTGAGGTCAGACATTGAAGTAACTGCAAACATGCTTCACCTTCTGTTCAAAAAGATTCGGGAGGAGGAAGTGCTGACGGACTGGAAAGAAGGATATCTCATCAAGATACCAAAGAAAGGAGATCTGAGAAAATGTGAGAACTAGAGAGGAATCACACTACTATCGGTACCAGGGAAAGTTTTCAACAAAGTGTTGTTGAACCGGATGAAAAATTCGATGGACGTCCAGCTTCGAGATCAACAGGCTGAATTCCGTAAGGATCGATCGTTCATAGACCAAATTGCGACACTATGGATAATTGTGGAACAATCAGTTAAGTGGAACTCATCGCTATACATCAGCTTCATTGACTATGAGAAGGTGTTTGACAGTGTGGACAGGAGAACATTATGGAAACTCATTCGACACTATGGTGTACCTGAGAAAATCGTCAATATCATACGGAATTCATACGACGGACTACAGTGCAAAGTGGTGAATAGAGAGCAACTGAGGGGTGCATTCCAACTGAGGACCGTAGTCAGACAAGGATGCTTACTCTCCCCCTTTTTCTCTTCTGGTGGTTGACTAGATTATTAAGATCTCGACATCTGAGGGGAAGCATGCAATACAATAGACAGCTGGGAATTAAGTAGATGATTTGAACTCCGCAAATAACCTACCTCTTCTATCCGATACATACGAACAAATGCAGATGAAGATAATTGGTGAAACACCAGCCTCTGCATCAGTAGGCCTCAATATACGCAAGAGAAACAGCAAGATCCTCAAATACAACACAGAGAACACCCACACAATCACACTTGATGGAGACACTGTGGAAGAGGTGGAAAGTTTCACGTTTCACGGAAAGTTTCACACCATCATTTATGAACAAGGAGGACCTGATGCAAACGTAAAGGTGAGGATAGGTCATGTAAACGTCACATCTTAAAGTTGAAGAAAATATGCAACTCAAAACAACTGTTAACCAACATATAAGTCACAATATTTAATGCGAACCTCAAGACTGTACAGAGCTGAAACTTCGAGAACTACAACAACAATCATCAGAAAGGTGCAAGTACTTTTAAACAATTGTCTATGGAAGATACTCAATGTTCGTTGGCCGGATATCTTCAGCGACAGCCTACTGTGAGAGAAAACAAATCAGCTTCCAAATGAGAAGCAAATTAAGAAAAGACGTTGGACGTGGATAGAACATAGATTACGGAAATCATCAAACTGAATCACGAGGCAAGCACCTGCCTGGAATCCTGAAAGGCAACAGAAAAGAGAAAAGCCGAATAACACACTCCATCGAAAATTGGAATCAGACATGAAAAGGATGGATAGCAACTGGAAACAACTGGAAAGGACTGACCAGAACGGATTTGGATGGAGGATGGTTGTGGACGGTCTATGCTCCCTTACGAGAGGTAACAGGCGGCAGTAAGTTTCTCACACTTGACATCAACATAGGGAAGGGAAGCCAGTAGGAAAAGTAAAGTGATGTTTAGTAAAAAGATGAAAAATGAGGAGGACAAAAGTGTGAAAGTTTAAAAACTTCAAAAATTAAGAGTGAAATGCAGCATAAATGAATTTGTGACAATACGATTGAAATGTGTTTGAGCCATTTCATAGAAAGTTAATGAATACAAAGACAATAAGTACAATATTTTCACCTATACAGCTCAAATCAATATACAATGATTGGTACCAAACATTGTCCGAAGTAAGTTCGATGCAAGTAACAAGTGGCTAGCAAATAAAATATTATTGCTCTGATACGTTATTCACGTATGCAATTACGCAACAAACCTTTTTAAAACTATAAATACCGAACACGTACACACAGACATAAACACACATACACAGAGATTTTATTTATTATTTAGTTAAACACTTAAATATCGGTACAATAAAGCACCAAATAGATATGCGCCATACAAATCTCATTCGATTTGTGTGGGAACTTTGATACTGTCCAGATGCCCAGACTGAAGCAGGTGGTTTTCTCATGGGGCCACACCCGGAGCCTTTGACCTGAAGGTCTAGTCCGCAAGGCAGTGGAGCATCGTGAGGAGATGCAGCCTCATGGTAGCCGGTGGCCGACGATTCATACGCCATTTGTTCCTTCAGGATACTGGAGCCCATGTGCACCATTGGTTCGGAATGAGGGTTTTCCAACCCCCCGAGGTGGACACTCCACATCCACCGACCCGATTAAAGCGCCGGACATTCGCTTTTCGTCCTCTCACTTTCGTAAACAACACCCCCGTCACGAGAAAGCAGTGAGTAGGACTTCCCTGTCAGAGTCTATATACGCGTATCTATGTGAGAGCATTTCGAGAGGGAGAGTGGACTCTCCTCACCCTCAGCCGTGCCAGGGCATTTGTGGGAAATTGTTAACTAATCCTAATTTTCTTTTCATTTGAATAAAATAAACAAAAAAACTTACCGAATGGTGATTTATGATGTACCATAAAAGTATTCGTTGTCGATTCTGTCGATTTTGTTGATAAATGTGCATGTGAATCATCAAAATTGCATAATCCAGTTGTTGTCGATGTTGTCATCATTGAGACGGTACTAGTTAATGAATTTGATAAAGAATATGATAGTAGATTTTCACCATCTAATGAACCATCTATAGTTGGTGTTCTAGCTTCAGGACGTTTTTTTGCCGGTTGCCGTGGTGTTGACTTTCCACTAGATGAGTAATTAGAACTATTCATCCAAGATACTGTAGTATTATTATTATTGTTATTATTAGTTATATTTATTGTATTATTATTATTAACAGAAGATGGATATAGATGTAAACCATTCATTGGACCATTACTGACTATTAATCCAAGATATGGTTGTGAACAAAGAAATGTACCATCTTTATTTAAATTACAGTGACGTTGTTGTTGTTGTTGCATGTTAGTACACGACTGAAGTAGAAATGGCGATGATGAATGATCATCGTCGCCGTCATCATCATCCTCTTCTTCACCTTCTTGGTGTTGTCGTTGAACTAATGATTGGTCAGAATGAAAATGATGATCATGATCATGAAACATTGACTGATCTTGATCATTCTTAATAGATCGTGATACAAGAGAATTAGAAGAAGTATGAGGTAATAAACTATTTGAAGTAGAGTTAACCATAGAAGTCGTAACATTAGTATTAGTAGTAATTGTAGTAGTAGTAGAAGAAGTAGTAGCATTAGGTATGACATTACCGCATTGAAGTGATCTAGATAAGGCAGAATTATCATGCGTAGAAAAAGTATAAAATGCACTTGAAGTATTATTACTAACAGGATTATTTGAGATTAACGATGAAATATTCCCATTAGTTAATAATGTTGAATCTGATGGTCGACGAATTTGTGGATGAAGTTGTGAGATTCGAGGATTAGTATTATTATTGTTATTACTGTTACTATTACTATTACTACTTAATGGAATTCCAGATATAAGAAGTGGTGGACTTGATGAAGAATAATAATGATGATATGAATTTTTAGCTGGTGATGATGGAAATGAACTAGGTGATATTGGTCTTGGACGTTTTAAATTAGAACGTTCAGATTTGAAATGATGAATTCCACCATTATAATCTTTGGAATCGTTATAAGATTGAATTGAAGTATTTATATTTGTAGAAGATAGCAATGCTGCTGCTGTCGTTGCTGTTGTTGAACAATTGAATTCATTCATTGAATGTTGATGGATAGGTGATTGTTGTTTAGAATAATTCATTGTATTCAATGAATAATTATTTATTGTAGTTGTCATTGTTAAGGATTCATGTAATGAATCTGATTTATGTGATTTAGGATAACCATATGAAAGATATGAATTTGGCTAAAGATGACATAATCAAAATAAATAGTAATAATTAATTGAATATATATATATATATATATATAATGTCAATTGACACATGATCTCAATTATTAAAATTATTATAATATATCCACAACCCCCCCTTCTGATAATAATCAACTATATGCTCACTAATAACTGGCTCCATGAGGTATGTCCTAGAGTTCCAGTGAGAAACAGTGACCAGTGGAGTTCAATCGAGTCTGTTGTGAGATAGTAACTTACTAAAGACAATGGTGGATGTGTCAGCCAATTTCGTAAATCGGTTGAAGTTACACATGAACACCGTTGGATGCCGGTCAGTTCAGTGGTCCAGTGGTTAAGCGCTCGCGCGCGAAATTAATATGTTCTGAGTTCGAATCTCTCAAGGCGGGATCGTGACTGCTCACTGCTGAAAAGTCCCATAATAGGAATCTGATTATGCGATGAAAATTACCGTGAGTGATGAATAACATTGAACTTGTTGAGAGAATGAAGTTAGTAGTATAAGTGTTTGAGTACTATTGATCAAACCCTGAAAAAGTATTATTATTATTAGCTTTATTCAATAATATATTATTTGGTACAAAATCGAATTCTCAGCATAAAGTATTTCAACATGTTTACGTTTCTTATTTCTTCGTTGCTCCTGATGATAAATATTTAGTGATCGCCAGTGAGATGCCAGCAGTTCACTCAATCAACATATGAATAATGTATATTCTTTTCGCTGCATGTTCCCAGCAAACACGATATCTCTGATTAAGCCTTTTGTAACCTTTACAGCGAAAGGTTGTACAGTTTTCAGAAACGCACCTGAATAAGTTGTGTCCTTAAACGCCACAATGATGTATTAAAACAAACAATTTTATAGTTAAGATGATGAGTCAATTGAAGCTAGACCACCAAGGGAAAACCTGGAAGCACCGGAGGGCCGTTTCGTCCTCAGCAGTGAGCATCCACTAATCCGCTCTTGCGAGATTCGAACCCAGGACCTACCAGTTTCGAGAAAGAGCCCTTAACCGATAGACCACTGAGCTGGCATCCAACGGTGTTAATGTCTAACCTCAACCAATCCACGAAATCGCGCAACCAGCTTTCAATATACTGAGGTAGATACCTGTCTCGACCAGACATGGATTAGCTCCGCTGGTCACGACTTCTCACTAGAACTCCAGGAATTACCTCAAGGAGCCAGTCACTAGTGAGCATATGATCATTATCACAAGGGGTTTTTTGTGGAGATTTAGTAATTTTATAGTCCTGGGTTTGAATCTCGCGAGGGCGGTTTCGTGGATGCGCACTGCTGAGTAGTCCCATAATAGGACGAAACGGCCGTCCAGTGCTTCCAGGTTTTCCACGGTGGTCTAGCTTTAATTGACTCATGATCTCAACTATAAAATTACTAAATCTCCACAAAAACCCCCTTGTAAAACAAACAATATTAGATAACTTGTTGAAATATATAGATGACAGGAACAGGTAGCCCAGATGTTTAAGCAGGCCGCCCAAAAAGTATCCAACTTTCAATTACTGAGACGAAGACAAACGCAAGCACCACTCTATTTGATCCAATTAAAAATGATAACTGGATACTACTGTACTACTCTATACATCACAAAAAAGAAAAGAGAACTGATCTAAACCTAACGATATGAATCAATAATTTACTTAATTTCTAAATTACAATGAAATAAACAGAAGAAACAAACAGAATTTCATTACATCCACTAATGGATTGTCAATATATCATATTCATCTTATTTGGGTTGTTTATTGAGAAGAAAAATGAAAAAAAAAAAGAAAGTAAAGAGAAATAAGAATTCCAGACAAGAACCTTGAACTTAACTAATTACATAGTTGAAACTAGTACTACATAGTCAATAACTTAATTAAATTAACTAGTAGTAAAATGTAGAAATTTGATCCGGTTCTTTTTTGATAAATATGAACATAGAATTATGATATTCTTACTAATAACAGGGTGTTTCACAACAAGTTATACGTATATATGTGTTTTTTTAAGATCTTTGACTAACCAATAGTGTAAATTAACTCCAAATGCCCTGGTACGACCGACAGTGGGGAGAGTTCGATCTCCCTCTACAAATGCTCACACATGGACACGCGAATATAGCCTCCATCAGGGAAGTCATACTCACTGAATTCTCGTGGCAGTGGTGTTGTTCAAGAAATTGAGAGGATGAAAAGCGAATGTCCGGCACTTTAACCGGGTTGGTGGACACAGAAAGTTCACCTACGGGAGTTGGAAAACCCTCATTCCAAACCAATGATGCACATGGGCTCTAGTATCCTGAAGGAACAAATAGCGTACGAACCAATTGTTGATCTCTGACTACCATTGGACTGCATCTCCTGACGTTATTCCACTGCCTTTCGGATCAGATCTTTAGGTCGAAGGCTCCGGGTGTGACCCCCTAAGAAAATCACCTGTTTCGGTTTGGGCACCTGGGCAGTATCACAGCTCTCACACAAATCAAATGAGATTTGTGTGGCGCATATGTATTTGGTGCCCCCTTGTACCAATATTTATGTGTTTAAATAAATTAATAAATAAATAAACGAACGGTGTATGTAAATCTATTTTGATCACCATGCAATGAGCAAAACAAAAGTACACAATGTACATAAAAATAACTATAAAATAAGTAAAGATATTATATTATATGACATAGTGAATAATGATAACGACTGTCGAGAAGTCCTACACTATAAATAGGATAGTTGTTTACAATATTCCATGTTTAAACAGAAGCTACTACCTTAAAGTAGTGACTAGTCTTAGACATTGTGATGATCAAATCGATTTATATTGGCCGGAAGGATTGTCTCCAAGTTGAATTCGTACCACTAGCTGTTTCAAAGGCATGACTGTAGTAAGGTTTTTCTTTCAGACAGCCGGTATCTACAGAGATCCTACCATCCCATAACGCGTAAAGGAAGAATTGAAAAGGTCTGCACTAAAATAAACACGCTACACCTTAGTTCACGGATTTCCGTCTCCCATTGTAAGGACTTTTGATGTACGGCGCTTACATATTTGACAATACTCACATATGTGACCAGCCTTAAATAGCTGTCTCTTTGGGTCCATTATCCTTTCTAGGTATTACAAGAGGAAGAATCCTTTCATGGTGCAAGCAGTCTGTAAGTAAAAACCACCCTCATACCTCTAACAGCACTCGAAATTACTTCGACATATACTGAGATACAAACTCAACAGATAAATCATTAAAATGAAGAGAATTATGAACCCTTACAGTGTACTGATTAGACTATATTGGGGATTTTCTGTATACCTGATTAGTATTTAACCCTTTGTAATGTATCCCGTAACAAAATAGGCGATAGAGGGCGTCATGGAAATGGCCACAGGGTTTAGGTGTTTTGTTTAGTAACATTAATTACAGTGAACGATTGCTGAATTCTACGTTTATTTATTACTGCTCTGTGTTAATAATCTAGGTGGTTCGGCATTGAATGCAATATTTCCTGATGTTAGATGATTAGAAGCAATCGACAGATAGCTCTGGATTTACTAGGAAGACCTGAAATTATGTAGCCTATTTCGTTTTGATCAATAAACGGTAACTCTGAGGCATACGGAAGTCAGTTGGAACGTTTTTTCAACTTATACTATTAGCCTTGGCTGTTATCTAATAGGTTGTTCTGGATTTTAGATCACAGATTCTATCGCGACATAAACAGAGACGTATGATGGAAATTTTGACTTCTTCGGACATCAAACCTTTGTCTGACTTCTCTATCATTCTTTGAGTGTTAGACTATCGTTAAAGTGTCGTGTATCGACTGTCCAGTCTATCTGGTTTGCACATATCCCGTCTTCATATTGAAATGATCATACAACCTTTTACAAATAGAATTTACCATAAGCTATCTCAAAACTTAATAGAAGCTGTACTTCATACTAGTCGGAAATTATTACACTATTAAGGTGTGTGTGGGGTTCAAGACCAATCAACATGCTTTTCGCTGAAGAAATCCGACTAGAAAGGAATCTGGTTATTTCTGTTTTCGTGCTAACCGACTTAGATGAGGTAGTCTAGATTAATATGAGGAATATGTTCATCGTATTTCGAAATCCTTCTACTTTACATTACAGAAAATAATGATGAATAACATATATACCACTGAGTGCTGGTAGTCATAACAAATTTAATACATGAATGCTTACAAATGAATTGGCGCGGTTCAAACTCATCGATCCCGTTGTTATTGTCATAGAAGTTTCGGATTTCTGTAAAGCATCTTTAATAACTGGAACCAGATCGATTAAGTCACGATCTGATGCACTTAATGTAAGCTTAGATATAGACTCATTGGCAGGATTTAAGTTTTCTGAAGAAAAAAGAAAAGAAAGCCAATAATAGTCAGGAAAAAGGAAACAGATAAAATTCACATTAAATTATTGTTAGTCATTCAGTCATAAACAACGTAGAACCTGAGAAAAATATTCATCGCTTCGTGTTTTCAAGATCGGGTAGATAATGAGTAGATGCATTTACGCCATTGCATCCATGTCACACAATATACCAGCAACCACTGATCGCAGTTATTACTCAGAAATGAAACAGGTACTCTGCACCTATCAACATATATCAAATCAATGATTAATGACTTCATGGAATGAGGTTATATTTCCACTTGGCTGATCTTAAATTTTTCCAACATATGACTCAGCTAGTAGGCATCGTGCGTCGAGGTAGGCATTGTTAGGCAACCATAACATTGGTTATAACCACTTTAGTCGATGAAAATTCACTAACTCATCAAAGAAAGTGCTACCTTTGCTTAGTACTCTATGCCTAAGGTCAATATTCCCCACTCATTCACTCGATACGCAAGTAATGCTTCGAAGAGATTTATGATCAAAGACCTTTCACGTTTCACAACCACAAAGTAGAACAGGGTGGACTGTTGCACAATAGGTTCGCCTTTCAGTTTGTAGATGGACATCTTGTCTATGCCATAAGTGACACAAATTGGTAAATATAAGTCGGGACTTCTGAATCCGTGACTAAATTTTGTTACATACCAAATTACTAAGGCTGTTCTGACTTCCATGTTAAGTGAAGTAGTTATTACATTCAACACAGAGGAGATTTTGCGACTCGTCTCTAGCTACGCAACTCAGGACAGCAACATAAGTAAATACAACGACTTGACTTTAGTTGATGGATACTACAATGAAGATTCAATAGAATTGTATTAGCTAGAAAACTTGTTTCATAGGATCCTATTATCTTAGGAAGATGGGCTGCATTGCGCTATGATTAAAAATAATAAGTCATGGGTGTGAAAAAACTTTACAACGTTAAATATCTTAGCAAAGACGCTCTTTTATAAGCAAAGTGGCCGTATAAAGTAGTACCACTTTTGATGCCATGGATTTTCCATACTGAAACCAACACAGAGAAAATAATCACCGTTATAATGAATGTGGGTTATGGGGCCTCAGAAGATATCTTTTGGCTTTGTGATCACGCTGCTAGGCTGATAGGGCCATTAGAATTCAACTTTGTCGATAGTTTCCATTTGGTAAATGTAAATACAATGAATCTTTTTTTAAAGAAGGACCTGGTACACATATACAGTGGTCTAAATTGTCATACTAGATCAGCAGGACAGCGCGATGACATTGTTAAGATGACTAACAAAAGGACCGATATAAGCAATTATCTATTTGGAGTTAGATATAAACACCACCGGATGCCGGCTCAGTAGTCTATCGGTTAAGTGCTCTAGCACGAAACTGATAGGTCCTGGGTTCGAATCTCACGAGGCGAGGTCGTAGATGCGCACTGCTGAGGAGTCCCACAATAGGACGAAACGGCCGTCCGGTGCTTTCAGGTTTTCCCTTGGTGGTCTAGCTTCAATTGACTAATGATTTCAACTATGAAAATTATTTATTTTTCAATCTTATTTTATTCAGTGTACATTAATAGTCATTTACAATTGACAGAAATCTTAGACATGGAGTGATTTATTCATTTTATATTGAAAGAAAACACAACAAAACTTGTTACATTACACTTGTCTTGTCCAAAATGTAAACAACCTTCTTTCTTATTTCATACATACCATCATCATCAGTGACCGAACTAAAGAGAGTTGTATGTGAGAGAGTAATGGAAATCTGGAAAGTTAGGCGTGACTATCATTCAGTCATGGTATATATGTATATAACCAAAATAAATAAATATTTATTTATTTAAGAATTATGACAAACAGTTGAAAATAAATGGGGCAAAATGTAGCTGAATAAGTAATATAAGTACTATTCTGGAAAAAAGAGAAATGGACTGGATTGGGGGTGAAGACGGCGTCAAGAAATCGCTCACATACATACATACACAGATGAAAAGATACAAATAACATTTATCCGTTTCCAATTTCATTAATTTGATCATTTGAGAGATAACTAGTAATATCTCATTCAAATATGACTTTACCATAAAGATCAAATAGTCAAACTCAACATTTTACCAGAAAGATGTAACAGTATGATCAATTTATGTGAGAGAGAAACAACTGATTGTAGCCATCTCTATATACAAAAATCATGAAAATCACTTATGTAACATAGGCGAAAACATACATACACATACACACAGGACATCGGTTTCCTTGTCACACCTCCTAAAAGCAGGACACATCTATGGTTTTATAACCATCGACATATATGTACATATTACCTAAATTTTCGCCTTGTTCTTATTACATCATTTCAGAGACAATCGAGGTTCGAATAGACACTTAGAAAAAGAGGGCTACATATATACATACCCGCACACACACACACAAGCAAAAACTTTTGTCATCAACGAAACAGAGAATTTCTTGAGTAAACTACAATCGTGAGGAGGTATGTGTTGTTATTGTCAAATTAAAGAATCTCTTCCAGTCGTTATTTTCATTCGGTGTAACCATAGATGAATCATTTGTGGAAAATTTTCTACAATTGTTTTCGAATAGATAGATATATAAGGAAAGATCATCAAATTCGATCAAGAAATGTCTAAACTCATCCTACATGGATGGATACATTAGGAACAATCAATAATATAGAATTATTCAATAGGAAATGGGAAATAATGCTAAAATTCTGAAATTTAATGAACAGTTAAAAAAAGTGAGAACATTTGAGTGGGGAGGGTCCGCTCTCCCTCTACAAATGCTCTCACATGGACAAGCGTATATAGCCTCCATCAGGGAAGTCCTACTCACTGAATTCTCGTGGCAGTGGTGTTGTTCAAGAAATTGAGAGGATGAAAAGCGAATGTCCGGCACTTTAACCGGGTTAGTGGACACAGAAAGTTCACCTACGGGAGTTGGAAAACCCTCATTCCAAACCAATGATCTACATGGGCTCTAGTATCCTGAAGGAACAAATGGCGTATGAATCAATCGTTGGTCACCGGCTATCATTGGACTCTTCACGATGCTCCACTGTCTTGTGGATTAGACCTTTAAGTCAAAGGCTCCGGGTTTGGTCGCATAGGAAAACCGCCTGTTTCGGTTCGAGCGCCTGGGTAGTATCACTGCCCTCACACAAATCAAATGAGATTTGTGTGGCGCGTATATATCTGGCGCTTCTTTGTACCAATATTTTTATATTTAAATAAATAAATACAAAATCAGATCAATGATTTGAAAAACTGTCGTACCTTAAATTTATCCAGAAGAATATATGTAAGCTGTGAAGAGGCCACTTTCAGTGACCTTGAAGAAAACACTCTTTGGGTCTTGTAACCAGTATAACATCACTTGAATACTGTGAATATGAATTCAAATGGGCCCACAATTTTTCAATTTTACTTATTATCATTTTTTTATCTTGGTCAGTAACGCGACGCAGTAGCTCGCTGGTTAAGAGGTGCAACTCTCGACCACTAAATTCCAAGTTTGAGCTTTACCTAGTTTTGCTTGGAAGACTATGTAGTATCACCAGCCCTTTTATTTAAACTTCGTGACATCCGATCTCGACTTTCGTATATTTTTTTGACGATATCAGAACAAATAACCAAAAAATAGCACAAAACTCACCACTTCTATATTGTTGAAGTTGTTCTATAGAAAAAGGTCCAAATACATCCACATATTCATCCGAGACTACATTAAATTTAAAACAAAAGTTGGGATACATAAAAAATGGAATAGGATGAGAAATTATTATAAAACAGACTGTATAATAGACACTTAATCATTTACCATTGATTAATTACTGAGTAATGACTAATGTCATGTTTGCCGAGTCCTTCTTAGTGCTGAATGAATTCTACCAATCAAGCTGTAGTGTGGCTACTAGGTCCAAGTGATTCAATAGTGTGTAAACTATGTTAAGACGTTATCCGGTTGGAGGTAGCTGGAAGGAAACCCTGGAACTAAGAGGCGATTTGTAGCCCGAACAGTTTGGTGGTAGCGTCTCTGGTTGCAAAGAAAGATTGGGTGGGTTCAAATTCTACATAAAGCATCGAATACCTTGATATGGCAAGTACAAATTGCTGAAAAGTGTCAACTGACACGAAACTTAAACCTAAGATTTTCTACAGACTTCCTCCAGCCAATTAACATCTCAACCTGATAATTAATAGTAAAAAAAAATACGGACACATAGCTGAAGTTCTGAATAATATGGAAGTATATACCAGACAAATAGCTCATGTGAGATATTAATAAATAGTACATATACAGTTCTGCTTTAGTAAGTCAGTTATAATCAACGTAGAGCTTGAAATAAATAGGCATCATCCCAAGTTCTTGTACCATAAAAGCACGATAAGATAAAATTAAACAAGATGAATGTGGAGAAGAAGAAGAAGAAGAGTTGGAATAACCATCGTAGTGCCAGTGATAATGCGGAAGACTTTAAACAACGAAAAGCAACGTATTCGAAACCGAAACCACATATAAGTAACCACACAAAATATAAGTTATAAGTTATAGTAATGTTAAACAAATTATCGAGTTACAACGTTGTTTTTATCATATAGAGACTTCAGTTTTAAAAAGGCATTGAAAAACGAAGTGCACTAGACATCTGTTTCACCGCGAAGGGCGTTTACCCACGGTTGTATCCTAAGACGAACTCGACACGGCGAGTCCACCTAGGGGAGTTGGAAAACCCTGATTACAAACCAATGGTGCCCATGGGCTCCAGTATCCTAAGGGAACAAATGGCATATGAATCAATCGTTGATCACAGGCTACCATGGGACTGCATCTCCTCACGATGCTCCACTGCCTTGTAGATCAGACCTTTAGGTCGAAGGCTCCGCGTGTAGCCCCCTAAGGAAATCACCTGCTTCAGTTTGGGCACTTGGGCAGTATTTCAGCCCTCACACAAATCTCATTTGATTTGTGTGACGCATATGTATCTGGTGCTTCCTTGTACCAATATTTATGTGTTTAAGTAAATACATAAATGTACAGGCTTATATTCTGAGCTTTGAGTTCCATTATGTTGAAACAGATAATATTACTCAGCTGCCTAAACCAAGACAAGTGTGAAACCCGAGTACTCTACCAACCAGTAAACCACTGATTTTCCTGTTACGGGATCATTTACGAAAACCGTATAGCAAAATATAATCCATCGGAAAAGTGAAATAATCAGACTATACATCTTGAACCAAAATACAACAAAATCTAGTAAAAATCATTTCTAATATCTGATAATCAATAAACTATAAATACAAACTGTAAATAAACACAGAACTACTAACCGTTAGAAGCAATTCCTTCAGAATTGGCAGCAATTGACGGTGGGATAATGGTGTAACCTGCTTGAGCCAATGCTTTTAAAACCACAACAAGCGCAACAGAACTAGCTCTGAATCGAATATGCTGTGGTCGAACGCATAATTCATGATCACAAGTATGCACCATGATGTTGGTATCGGTACTTGACATTGGTAAACCATGATAAAGCATACCGACGATTGTATCTAATCTCCAAACCTGATAATAGAAATACAATCTGTTGACGTTCATAGATAAACAACACAAATTAGTAACAAATGAAAAAGAACCTTTAGAACTGAAAATAAAAAACATCGACGTTACCTTTACCGGTCTTTACTTTCACCTTCTTTACAAAAACAATCAAGATTAAAGGTCATTGAACGTAAATAAGGTCACACGACAACTATGTACAAAAGGATTGTTTGATCACGTTCAGATATTAAACACGATTTCGTGTTGTTTGATATGAAATTTTACAAATACAATAAAAAGCTTTGAAAAGATGAAGAAAAATTTTATTTCACGCGAATTGTTTTGGTGTAGTCGAGCTTTTTCTCAAGCTCGATACTTTGAACGAATAGTTTTAACTGTTGTTCTGGACAACTTAATTTGCTTATTTATTTGAACACAAACATCAGTACAAAGGGTCACCAAATACATGTACGCCACACAATAACAATGAGGCCAGTAGCAGCTACCATTGATTTGTGGGAGGGCTGCGATAATCTCTGGGTGCTAAAACCAAAGCAGATAATTTTCTTAGGGATCCACTCCCCGAGCCTTCGACCTAAAGGTCTGATCCACAAGACAGTGGAGCATCGTAAGGAGATGCAATCCCATGGTAGCCGGTGACCAACAATCGGTTCATACGTCATTTGTCCCCTCAGAATACTGGAGCCCATGGGCACCATTGGTTTGGATTCAGGGTTTTCCAACTCCCCTAGGTGAACTTCCTATATCCACCAACCCGGTTAAAGTGCCGGACATTAGCTTTTCGTTCTCTCAATTTCATAAACAACACCCCCGCCACGAGAAGGCAGTGAGTAGAACTTTCCTGGCAGAGGCTATATCCGCGTGGTCATGTGAGAGCATTTGGAGAGGGAGAGCGGACTCTACCCACCATTAGCCGTACCAGGGATTTAGGCATGTAAAGGCAAAAAGAGAATGTTCGACGACTAAACTATGTTAGTGGGTACGGAGGATCTACCTATGGAAGTTAGAAAACTCTGATTCCAAACCAATGGTGCACATGAGCTCCAAGATCCTGGGAGAACAAATGGTGTATGAACCTATTCTTGTTCAGCAGCTACCATGGATCCGCATCTCTTAAAGTTGCTCCTCTGTCTTGTGGATTACACGTCTAGGTCAAAGGCTCGGGGAGTAGCTCTCTAAGAAAACAACCTGCTTTAGTTTGGGTGTCCGGGCAGTATTCCAGGCCTCAAACAAATTTTGTGTAGCGCATATGTATTTTGGTGTCTCTTTGTACCAATGTCAGTGTTTAAATAAATAAATAAATTAATAAATAACTTAGTGGTTGAATTCATTAGTCGATTAAAACTAGACCACTATGGAAACCCTGGAAGCATTGGATAGCCGTTTCGTGATATTATAGGGCTCCCTTAGCGGTGAGTATCCACTATCACGCACGCGGAACTTCAACCCTGAGCCTTCGGTCTCGCGCGCGGACGCTTAAACTTACTACAAACCCCCATTCTGAAAATAAATAACTCTTCATTATCATCTTATTCTTCAGTGTGCTAACCAAAAAGTGTACATCACAAATACAAGACACTTAACTACCATGGAATTTTGAGAAGTGAACTTAATAATAGAATTTTACTACGAAAAATAATCGATACCAACCTGTTTTCAACATAAATAATATATATAGGGGGTTGTGCAGATAGCTGAATTTAATTTAAATTGCTAATTTATCTAGATTACCAAACCATTGGAAACCTGGAAGCACCAGATGAGTTTCCTCTTAGAATAAGATCCCACACTGATAATCATGTGCTCACCAGCAACTATCTTCGAGAGGAAATTTTGAATTTCTAGTGGAGTTTGAGAAAGGTGCCCACGGAAGCCAATGGAAGATAGTGGCGCAACATCGTGGACAGATCAAATTTATAATTGTACAGGATCAAATACCGGCTCAGTGGTCTAAAGGTTAAGCGTTCACGCACGAGAGCTAAAGTCTTGAGTTTGGTTTCCGATGCCGGTCTCATGGATTTGCACTACTGAGAATTTCTATACCGGGAAGAAACACTTGTCTGGTGGTTATGTTATGCTATAAAATTACTTGATCAACACCCCTGGGATAATCATTAGATAAAGTTGAATCAAATCCTACAATTATGTAAAAAATAAAACGCATAAATAAAATCATCTGTGTAAACAGCGGAAACCGAGTTAGATCTGGTGAGTATAGACTTTAAATAATTAATAATTAAACTATCCATTTTCCACGTACTTAGATAGTTACACTGTGTGAAAGATACTATTACCCAGTTGGGCAAACTGAAGTGGAGCGGGGTTCGAATTCGAGACTTAGTGACTGAAAGTCGAATACCTTAGCCACTAAGACACTATCCACGTACAATTTGACATTTAAAAATAGATAACTTACCTTATCAGAACCTTTGCCACCATCAATGCGTCGCATACGACCTTTAGCATCACCACGACTTATAACACAAGAATGAGGATCATTTAAAGTATCCTCACTTCCAAGCCAACATTTGAGAAACCAAAATACTGAGTCACTGGGCAACTCTTTATATAACTTCTTGAGTAAATTTGATACAGCATCAGTTTCACTTCCAGCATTCATTTCCTTAAAAAAAGCATGTAATTAAGAAAGTTAAGCCTTATGTTTCAAATATTCTCCCAGTGATCAATGAAAAACAAATCCATTATATCAAATATTGTCCTTTTCTGAATGCAAATGTTGCTATGACATAGTGCTTGAACTTAGCTATCGTCCCGACCAGACCGAGTTATTGACTGGAAAAATTATTTTTCATGGCCCTATCAAACACGACAGGTCGATTACCAAACATATAAGACATAGTAGCAAACCACTGAGTTATCATCACTGCCCGAGTTACAGGAATGAGTCAAAAAAATTAACCAAATAAAGACTTTCTTAAATCTTTAGTGTCATGTTCAAAATTGGTTATTAGTATTTATACGGATGGTTTGAACGGAAGAAACCAACGCGTTATCTGAGTAGCTACGACTGATTTTGAAAATCATGTCAAAATCATCAACGATGACGCAATATTAATTCAGTGTTGCTTACATAATATACCAACAGGTGTAGAGGCTAAAACGATGCTCTACTTTGCTCATGATAGTTATGTTCCCCAACCATCATTTACGTCATTTTCTAAATATCTTTTCTCCGGGTATTAAATTCCTGAGTCTGGCCCTGCATTGTTTGTTTCCATACGACTAACTACCAAGTTATTATTCAAATAGTACATGAATGACCTAGTCAACCCAGAAAAAGTCCTTCGTTTATAGATATTTAAGACAAACTTTTGACCCACTATTCAATGAAACAATCAGAACTCTGTTTTCATAAGTTTTAGTTTACTATAGAACAATTGATCACATAGCACATTGTAGAGTTATACATAGGCATCATTAGGTCTTCAATAAATGTCTACTGTATTATGAAGCCAAATTTTCCTCATCAACGGGATTCATCAGCTTTACTCACTAACAACGTAGTGGGTAATAATTACTGACTGCAAAAAGTGATAATAGCTTAATAAAAATAAATACGATACCATCCATCGACATGGTTAAGTTGTATTCATTAATTGGAGCCCGTATTTATAGACCAGCTTTCTTAATCACGGCCAAATTATAGGTCGCAAAATCTAGTAATGACAAGATTCAGTGTAACTTCAAAATAGTAGCAAATTTTAGAGTCAGCACTGAGGTCACTAACAAATCCCGCCCAAGAAGCAAAAACCAGATATTTTAGGTTGTGAGACACTTAAGAATGATACGAAAATTTATAGAAATTAAACCCAGCAGTAAAAGTAGACTAAAATATAAAAAAGAACCCCCTAAACATGTAACAATAAAGATATGAAGACAGCTGTGTATAATTTCAGAAACAATACGTAATTGAACCTCACATATCACCTGTTGATAAAAAAGCATCTACATGTACAAATAGCAAACACTCACTCCGATCTTTAATGCTATGAGACTCCAATCACTTTGGCTCTGGCCACTGTTACATGCCATACGACGGTTTTCTTCCCGATTGCGTTCACGCATTGATGAAACGCCCCGAAACCACAAGGGAGCTATGCGCTTGCAACGTCCAATTAAGGCCCGAACAAACAATGCTTCACTAGGCTTGGCAGCTGCATGTACAGGGAGTTTATGTGAGCATTCGTTTGGGAGATTCGGGACCTGAAATTCTGAACTGAGGGAGGGTAGCGATGACTGTGCGGAAAAAACATTTGATGAGTCCTCTGCACAATGGACAGATAAAGGCTTTGTGTTTGAGTCCGTAGAACTAGAAAATGAATTGTGATTGCTTTTATCTGATTCTGAATAAAATTCAGTTTTTGTTTGGGATGACAAGCATACTGTTGTCGAAGTATCCAATTTATCGGAACCATTAAGCGCAAAACCGACTGAAGGTATACGAATCGAGTTTGAGTTTGTAAAGGAATCATCTTGGAGAACAGTACATGAAGGACTCAACTGATTATTACCGGGATCGTGAATGGAAAGAGGATATACCACTCCAGTGGACAGATTACTAAACAATGGTTCAGGTTTCACATTTATATTATTAGGCTCCATGCAGTTTATAAATTAGAAATCCCATCCATGCCAGCAGTATGACCACTAAAACATCAACGTGAAGACCAGGCCCGAAAAACGTCTGTTCAAAATTGCACACAACCTAAAATTTCATACGCGCTCTCTACCACTAAAACCTATGTTGTTTAAAATGCTTTTTTACTCTAAAAATTGTCAATTATACTGAAACCTTAGGGTAAAATTCTGTCGCCTCTGGTTGAATGATAAATTAATAAGATATGCTTCTTCGCGGTGTATTCAGATATTTACGCAACGTTACTTAGTGTATGGATTCCTTACAGGTCAAATTCCCTAAGAGTTCTACAGGTGTACACGGGGATTATAAACAACATACTATGACCCCAATATGCACAGGGACATCTGTTATTGGAATTAAATATAGAAATGGGGTTGTTCTAGCTGCCGATATGTTAGTTTCATATGGCTCCCTAGCCAAATATATGGATTTCGAGCGCATGTTTAAGGTAAACAATTTGTTTTTCCCCGAAACTAACTTCAATAGGTAAATCAGAGCACAGTTATGTGCTGCAGTGGTGATGTGGCAGACTTTCAATTTCTCAAACATCACATTGAAGAGCTGACACATCAAGACAGTCTCCTTTCCGACGGCTTTAGGCTAAGGTGTGTATCTTAGCTTTTTTGATTATCTCTACTTTTAGCCCTCATGCTCTCCACAGCTGGATTACACGTGTTCTATATAACCGTCGAAGTCGTTTGCAACCACTGTGGAACACCTGTTTAGTCGGAGGTTTGGAAGCAAATGGAGAGCCCTTCATTGGGTATTGTAGTATGCTTGGTGTTTGTAAGTAACGTTCCATATAAACAGAAATCTAATTTCGAACTATTTGAGTAATGCGGAAGTTTTTTTTGCACTCCAACACCCCATCTATCTTTCCTGTTCCAACAATGGATGTGACATCACATTCACCATCCTGCCACAGTAAATAAGGTCGACTGTACTACAATTTGGTCAGAAGTGTAAAACTAGTAGGGCACCGTCTTAGGACATCCAACATATCGTGTTTTCCCTCCGTTCAATCAATGAGAGGTTAGCATATAATTATCTTAAAAACATTGTACTTCACCCTTTAGCGAGGCCATATTTTTTAAGTGATTTTTGAGTAAGCCAGTTGTCACTAAAATACCCCTTGAACTATGCGCTTAGTCAGCTTTAAGTCTTGAGTAGTGCACAATGTTTTATGTCCTAGGCAGCCTTGTAATGTTATCATGCACACTTAATAACACTATTGTTTTGTGGTAAAGTATGTCTTCAATGCTCCAGTCTGTGGAGTAAAACAATCCAATGCATGGCAAACTAGCCTACTAATAGTTGTCTGAATGCCTCACAAGTAGCGTCCATGCATGTGTCTTCTTGTACGTGTTCCCAGATTTTTTGTACACATACAGAACGAATATTGTCTATGTACTCTTGAATGCTTAACATGTCACAACTTTCAAACCTTTATCATCTTTGTAGCATTCACTGAAAATTATGTTGCGACCGGTTTCGGTGCATACCTTGCGATGCCTATTCTAAGAGAATGTTTGGAAATAAAAGCAGGGGGAGATCCAAACAATATAACGGAAGAAGATGCTATCTCTACAATAACAAGTGCAATGAAGCAATTATACTTTCGAGATTGTCGGTAATTACCTCACGTTTTTTCAGATTATTTCAATTTCATTTAAGGCAAATCTATTTTATAAATGTATTATTTAGTACGCAGGCAATTTCGAATTTGTAAAATGGTGGCTAGAAGCTAATTCCCAACCAACCACCAATTCACATGTTCTTAACATTATGACAAAAACTACACTTTCGATTGAGTATTTGCTAGGGTATCGATAAACATACTTAACTGGTTAGACTCCAAGAATTGTTTTTACAAGACTGATAAGGGTTGTACTCGCACTCACCCTTAGTCAATCAGTTTTCCTTTATATAGAATCTGGCACCTGTACATTATTTCAAGTTTCCACACTCTATTAGCACAAGGAGATGAAATTTTCAGGGCAAATCCCAGAATAGTAGAGCCAGTAACAGTATTTATGATGCTGAAAAACCCTAGTCTTCATTGAATTGCTGACATTCAGTGGCAACATCATGTTAGTAATGCGGAGGTATTGCAGCTTGTGTCCAGACACATTGACGGTGGTTCAATTAACGTTACCGTCTTGGAAAAGCGGCTTCGGTGACCTGGACGTGTACTACGAATGTCGCCCCAATGAATTTCACATGGAGCATTATTTGCCAATGTTGGGACTAGTGAGAAAGATTGAAAGGTAATCAGTTTATGACATAGTGCCATAGCATAATAGAACTTTGTACAGAACTGACATCTGTCGAACCTTCATAACTTTGTTTGTGGTCCGAGGAATGGCTAAACTTAGTGCCTTGAGATAATATCAGATATGGCTCAGAGTAGAAGCCGATCATGTTGTAAGTTTCCCTACTGTTTTCATAAATCAGAACCTTTTCACTAAAAGGATTCTCTTGGGTTGCATTTTTCTCAACTGAACTACTTCTTTCATTTCCTTTTAGACTCATTCAATTATTTTTATTCATTTACTGTTTTTAATTTTACTCAGCCTCTTTCCTTTAGCTCTTATTTGCACAGTACATACTTTATTTTGGTGTTTATTTGTACCAATATATCAGTGTTTTCAATAAGCAAATAAACAGTCTGCCAATTTGAAGATTGTTCTGCCCTTAAAAAAGCAATAGAATTAATACTGGGACATTAACTAACTTTTTTATAAGTAATTAAAGGTGAGACCAGTTCATAAAGTCATGAACAATTGGACTGATGGCTATGTTGATTAGTATGGACTATTTGGTTGGGGTCCGCTTGATTATCGTAACCAAGTTTGTGAGACTTTGGATGACATGGCTCAGAAGCGTTAAAAGTAGCACAGGCGTATTCATTCTTTATCGTCCATTAGAAACTGAGTTTTTGACTTTCTTATTTCTATCGTTATATATATATATATCAGGTTCTATGTTGTGTATGACTGATTAACTGAACTAAAAGTTCAAAGAATGGGAATCTAAACATCAAAATTACTGAATTCTATGAATAAAAACTAGTGATGTAGTCTTGTTCAATTGTATTTATTTATTTATTTAAACACATATATATTGGTACAAAAGGGCACCAGGTACATATGCGCCACACAAAATAATGAAAGTAGGTAGATAAAGGATGAAAAGATAAGGCGGGCTGAAATGTACAACCAGAAGATTCTTTCAGTTAGGAAAGTTAGAACCATTCTTTATGTAGAAAGTAAAAGAAGGTTGCAGCAGGATCGCCACTGGCTTCTATTCTGAGCCATATCCGATAACGTCTCTAGCCACTGTGTTGCACTATCTCTCGGACCCCAACCAGGGAGTCGTGAAGGACCAACGGAAGCTAGCCCTTTGCAGCTCTCTTTCATGCCACGACACCATGTCATACACTGACCTCCTCTCCGCTTTCTCCAACCAGTCCCAGGGTCGGCAAATAATGCACGACGCGGAAGTCTCTGGGACGACATTCGTAAAACATGTCCGAGCCACCGAAGTCGGTGTTTCAAGATGGTGACACCAATTGAATTATCGTCTCTGCGCCCGAACACACGATGCCGAACCTCTGCATTACTAACATGGTGTTGCCACTGGATGTCAGCAATCCTTCGGAGACAACGATGATCGAACACAGAGAGACGTCTAACATCCTCAACTCGGAGAGGCCAGGTTTCACAAGCATAGAGCAAAACTGCTCTCACCGACGCGTTGTAGATCCGACCTTTTACAGCCAGACTAACATCACGAAGGCGCCAAAGATGGCCCAGATTGGCATAAGCCGCTCTGGCTTTCATTAAACGTGCATCAATCTCATCACTCACGCCACCACCAGCACTTATATAGCTACCTAGATACACGAACTTCTCAACTACTTCGATCTCCTCACCATCCAGGGTGAATACAGGATGAGAATCCTGCCAGTCTTGTAGAAGTACTTTGCACTTGGAGGGTGCAAAGCACATGCCGTACCTGCGGACACTGATTGCCAACTGATTAAGTGCTGATTGCATGCCTTGGGCATTATCGCACAGTAAGACAATATCATCCGCATACTCGAGGTCGAGAAGTCGTTCTCCAGGCAACATATCCACACCGCCATTACTTACATCCATCAGAGCTGTTTCTAGGATGTCGTCGATGGCAAAGTTGAAGAGGAATGGTGAGATCGGGCAACCCTGCCTAACCCCACTGCTCGAATGCAACAAGGGAGAAAGGTGGTTGTATGCCCTCACTCTGCCTGAGGTGTTCGTATACAGGGCTTTTAAGATGTTAATGAACTTCTCAGGCACACCCTTCTTCAATAGACAATCCCAGAGAACAGTCCTGTCCAACGAATCGAAGGCAGCCCTGATATCAAGAAACACTACGATTGTTGGCCTGCGATAAGTATGACGGTGTTCTAACATTTGGCGGAGGGTGAAGATGTGATCAATGCATCCTCGACCAGAACGAAAACCAGCCTGCTCCTCGCGAGTCAATCGTTCTCGGGTTTTAAACAACCTACGAAGAATGATAGAAGCCAATAGTTTGGACGCGATCGAAAGTAGACTTATCCCCCGATAGTTGCTACAGGAACAACGTGAACCCTTTTTAAAGATAGGGACGACTATTGACTCATTCCAAAATGTTGGAACACTTTCTTGCTCCCAAACCTTTGCAAACAACGCAGTCAGTTCCTTAGCCAGAAAGTCACCACCATCTTTAAAAAGAGCCGGAGGTAAGTCATCTGGGCCAGGTGATTTATAACGTTTCAAGAGTTGGAGTTCCTTGCGGACTTCCGCCTCGTTTGGTGGATCAGTCGTCACCGGCCATGGGGAGCAGGACAAGCTGGTTGATGTTGCCGGAGCAGCAGGCCAGTTGAACTGCCCTTCGAAAAATTCCGCCCATCGTCCAAGACGTCGACAGATGTTAGTGATTGGCATCCCGTCATCCTCGTAGATTGTTTCACTCACACCAGACTTCTTGCTGCCAGTGGCTCGGATGAGTTGGAAGAGCTTCCGGCAGTTACCAGATGCAGCTGCTGCTTCCATCTCATTAGCACGCTCCGACCACCAGGCTTCCCGGTCCTTACACAAGCTTTGCCCGATTTCATTACGTAACAGCCTTCGTTTGTGGTCAAACTCACGGTCACCCGGAGTAGACCGACGGGCTTCCATCAGTTGTAAGGAGCCAGAAGAAACCCAGTGCTTGTAAGCGGGACGTTTCGCGAAGCCGCAAGCGGCTTTACTCGCCATTTTCATGGCGTCATGAAGATGCAACCAATGCTTACCTATACTTTTCGGTGGGGCGGTAGCTAGCCTAGAGGCTAGCTCCGCTCGATACTTACTTGCAACAGAAGTTGCAGCCAGTTTACTAATATCAATCCGTTGGTGGTGGTCAATCCTTCGGCCACTGAAAAGTAAGGTGAGATTGGCGCAGACCAGGGCATGATCAGACTCCAGATAGGTACTCCAAAAGGAGCGGCAGTCTTGTACACAACCACGCCAGCGGTAGCTGATCGCGATGTGATCAATCTGAGTCCAGGCTTGGGATGCAGAGGGAGGACGCCAGGTGGCACACCGGCGATGACTGTGCCGGAAGTTAGTGCTGGCCAGAAACAGGTTGTGGTCTGTGCACAGTTGCAGCAAACGGTCCCCGTTATCTGTCCGGCGACCAACAAGTCCCCATCGGCCACCTAGACGACTCTCTTCTGTGCCTAGACGCCCGACCTGTGCATTCAAGTCTCCGGCTAGTACTACAATATCTGTCGAACGCGCTTTCTGGAGAAGAACTGTTAACTGATGGTAAAACTCATCCTTGATTGCATCCGGGCTGCAATCTGTCGGGGCATAGGCGGAGATGACGAAAAGACACCGTTTCTCACGCCGATTTCTTCTCACTTTGATGGAACTTTCTAATCTAACAGCACATAACCGACTGTTAATGGGGATCCAATCGATTAGTGCTGCCTCAGCTCTAGCGCTTAGTGCGACACCAACGCCAGCAAGACCAGACGAAGATGCCACAGGGTCCCCGGATAAGCGCACGTGGAACAAGCTTTTCGAGGCGACAGATGGAGAGCGGATTTGTAGTACTTCACTAGAGTCTTGAATACGGGTCTCGGATAGACAACAAACGTCAACATTAAGACCTTCCAAAGACATAGCCAGCCCTATCTGTTGTCTGATCTGCATTAGTGTGCGAACGTTGAAGGAAGCCAGCTTGAACGGCGTACGTGGTTTCAGAAAGACTGCCTCAGTATTCATAATCGGTGGAAGCATTCACTTTCAACCAGACAGTGACTGGAGATCGTTTAGATAGGACAGATTTTCCACCAAGAGCGAGCTGCTGCATAAGTTGAAGAGTAAGGTTACACAAATTGGGGATAAAAGGGGGTGAATTAGCGATATGGTAAGTAATAATAATAATAATAAAGGTAATAATAATAATAATGTTAATTGTTTTGCTTTTAGTATGACCAGGGATATCGTCAATAAAGTTCATAATTTCATTCATTTGTTTGTGTGTGGGCTGTGATACTGCCCGGGTGCCCAAACCGAAGCAGGTGGTTTTCTTAGGGGACCACACCCCGAGCCTTTGACCTAAAGGTCTGATCCACAAGGCAGTGGAGCATCGTGAGGAGATGCAGTCCCATGGTTGCCGTTGACCAACAGCAGGTTCTTCCGCCATTCGTTCCATCAGGATACTGGAGCCCATGTGCACCATTGGTTTGGAATCAGGGTTTTCCAACTCCCCTAGGTGGACCCTCCGTGTCCACCAATCCGGTTATAGCGCCGAACATTCGCTTTTCGTCCTCTCACTTTCGTAAACAACACCCCCGCCACGAGAAGGCAGTGAGTAGGACTTCCCTGGCAGAGGCTATATATTCGCTGGCCATGTGAGAGCATTTCGAGAGAGAGAGTAGACTCTCCCCACTCTCGGCCGTACCAGGGCATTTGGGGGCAATTGTACAAGCTGTCAGAGTTCTAAATAAATTGTTCAACTCTTTTATCAACTCCTTATCTTACCAGAGTTCAGTTTCGTTTATCTGTTTCTTCAACGAATAAACCTTATCAATTTAAAGGAGTATGAGATATAATATTCGGTGTAAATGATAAAAATCTTCCCAGTTCTTTTCTATTAAATATACAAGTAGACAGATAACTCTGTTTTTATTTAGTTGTACAGATTTTCAGGTGTTGATTATTTATTTATTTGAACACATAAATATTGGTACAAAGGGGTACCAGATATATATGCGCCACACATCTTATTTGATTTGTATGAGGACTGGGATACTGCCCGGGTGCCCAAACCGAAACAGGTGGTTTTCTTAGGGGACCACACCCGAAGCCTTCGACATAAAGATCTGATCCACAAGGCAGTGGAATAACGTCAGGAGATGCAGTCCCATGGTAGCTGGAGACCAACGATTGGTTCATACGCCATTTGTTCTCTCAGGATACTGGAGCCCATGTGCACCATTGGTTCGGAATCAGGGTTTTCCAACTCCCCTAGGTGGACTTTCCGTGTCTACCAACCCGGTTAAAACGCCGAGCATTCGCTTTTCGTCTTCTCAATTTCTTAAACAACACCCGTGGTGCAAAAAGGCAGTGAGTAGGACTTCTCTGGTAGAGGCTATATACGCGTGTCGATGTGAGAGTATTTCGAGAGAGATGACTCTCTCACTCAGCCGTACCAGAGCATTTGTGGGCATAGACATTTTATCATGAAGTGATACCATTTAAAGCCGTAGATTGGATCACTAGAAAGTTTGTTTTTTCATTCTCAAAAATGCATACACGCTTAGAATTTAAATCATGAAACCCCATGTTTCATATCATTCCATGAAGTCACTGACAACTGCATTAAGCCATGTTGGTAGGTGCAGACTATCTGGTTGGAATCCGCGAGATGATAGCAACCGATGGTTTGAGACCTTGAATGACATGGTTCAAAATCGTTTGCAATGGCGAAGGTGCATCCACTCTTTGTGTTCTTCCAAATCCTAATCTTCTGAATTCCTCATGTCCCTATCTTTTTTCTGTTTCCAAATTTATTTCACTGTATTATACTCCTTCCATAACATCTTCAAACCCTAATTTTTCAGATTACTGTTTATACTCTTACTACTTCTACCACTATGGGATTTGAATCGACAAATTCATCTCTGTGCTAATGTGGTATGGCAACTCGAACTGATGTAAGTACGTAGGAAGTTCTACGTTGTGACTGACAGACTGACTGATGTCTCATATCAAGCTCGATTCCTTAGATCACGAAGTCGATAATATCTATAATACTTTTTTTATATATTATATTCAAAGTCTCATATTGTTCACATATATAATTTGACCATTCCAGTCAGTGTTTAATTATTTTTTTATATTTCTTTCCTTTAAATTAATAGTGCATTCGATACATATCAAATGGCTATCGTAAATAAAGAAGGAATACAAATAAATGGCCCATTACGCTTAAAATGTGATTGGTCTATTGCTGAATATGTAAAAGGCTATGATTAAGAGATAATTTTTCTAAAGTTTCTTTTTATGGGAAATAAATTTTTTTGTTAAAAAAGAAAACCATTTTTGTTTTATAACTTATATCGATGTCATTAAGCCATGACTCGAGCACAACCCACCGCAACATCTCAATCAAGTCATCTAGACCAGACTAGGCTGTGGCCAGGGGTTTGAATCGACAACTGCATCTATGTGCTAATGTGGTATGGCAACTCAAACTGATGTACGTTGTAACCGACTGAACTTACATCGATCTGTATTTGATTTTATTATTGTTGTTAACAATTTTTAAGCGTTCGACGTATTAACTTATGAATAATTGATAATTTTATATAGTTGAAATCATGAGTCAATTGAAGCTATTCATTCTTTTCATATCTGCTTCCACTTATTTAGCCTTCCACTTTTCCGTTTCCATTCAGGATTCTAAGTTAACCTTTCCCTCATAATGCAGTTTGATGTATGTCCTATCAAATTCCATAGTCTTTTCCTAATTTTCTCATCAAATGGAAGCTGATTTGTTCTCTCCCATAATAGTCTGTAACAGATGTTATCCGGTCAACGGACATTTAGTATGTTTAAAGACGATTGTTTATAAATACTTATACCATTTTGATAATGGTATGGCTTCATTTGTTGTACGATATTGGGGTCATGTCCCCACCAATAGATCCACCTGTCGGACTAATAAAATCCCATTTTGCTGATCGTAAATATGCTAGAATTTACTGTCATTCCGCAGGAGTAAAGCTTTATAGTCTTCAATTTGTATCCAGTCTATATGAGCTGCGTCTCACCAAAAAATGAACGCACTCTTTTTATTGGCAGTTGGTTATTTAACTACTTAGGTTCCCACTGAACAATTTACAACCAAGTCTAATTATCCAGATTTCATTTGAAGTACATGAAGGTAATCCTCCTCTCAGCAGTGATTATCTTATGTACAATATTGTTTGTATATAATTTAAAATAATATAATTACATTGTAGTTAGACTGCCTAGTACCCGGATTTATACAGTATAGCTCGTAGGAAACAAGTCTAATTTATTGATCAGATCAACAGTTTTACAAGTAAAGCTTGTGATAATCTTCAATGCGATTTCCACAGAATTTCAGGTCATAGGCTATCGATAAAAATTTCTCTTATCCATCCGTCATACAGTGGTAACTCGCCAACCAATTGCACATTCGTATACACTAGACATGTAAAATTAGATGCTGCTAAATCATCACTTAAGTCGATAGAGCAGAATGAGTATTGTGAAAGTTGGACATTCGGAACTCTCCTATCTGAGGTGCCAGACTGGTTGACGAGGTACGTGTTACGTTTGCACAAGCAAAACCTGCCTCGACGGGTAATGTGTGGTGCGGGAGTAGGCTGAAAGCTGGTAGCCAGACCTACACGTGGCACCAGTCTATGAAGTCTGTAGCAGTCAAACTAAGTTATCTTGTTAGGTGCAGACTACTTAGTTGTGGTCCGTGTAAATTTCATGATGGTTTGAGATTGAATGAAATGGCTCGAAATAGCTTGCAGTGACGAAGGTCCATACGCTGTTTTATCGTCCCTTAAATTCTAAATTGCCTTACAATTTCTGCACTTCACCATTCCGTATTCGCCTTGTCTAATCTTTTCAATCACCACTAATACTGTTACTACATCTACTACTCTGGGATGTTTCCTAACAATTTAATCCCGCTGTATAGCAATTTGGACCGATGTACACAAATAGTCCACGTCTAACTGGTTGGCTTAAATTGCCTATAATCCTGTTCTTTAGTTATTAGCCCCCAAATGTCCTGGTACGGCCGAGAGTGGGGAGAGTCCGCTCTCCCTCTCGAAATGCTCTTACATGGCCACGCGTATACGGCCTCTGCCAGGGAAGTCCTACTCACTGCCTTCTCGTCGCGGGGGTGTTGTTTACGAAATTGAGAGAACGAAAAGCGAATGTCCGGCGCTTTAACCGGGTTGATGGACATGGCGCATCCACCTAGGGGAGTTGGAAAACCCTGATTCCAAACCAATGGTGCACATGGGCTCCAGTATCCTAAGGGAACAAATGGTGTACGAATCAATTGTTGGTCACCGGCTACTATAGGACTGCATCTCTTTAAGATGCTCCACTGCTTTGTTGATCAAATCTTTAGGTCGAAGGCTCCGGGTGTGGCCTCCTAAGAAAACCACCTGCTTCGTTCTGGGCAGTATCACAGCCCTCACACAAATCGAATAAGATTTGTGAGGCGCATATATATCTGGTGCTTCCCTGTACCGATATTTGTGTTTAAATAAATTAATAAATCTTTAGTTATTAAATACATGGTTGTATTCTTATAAGCTTTTCTGTGATGCGTAAGCTGTTGTTTTTTCTTAAGTAACTCCAGATTTACTACGAAGCTGTTACTCAATCCTCTTCCATTTATGCTATGCCATTATTGTAATTTCTTAACTCTTTTGATGTGGTCCATATTCCACTCTATATTTTTGTGTGTTTCGAGTTATGATTGCATTAAGCATGATAGAAGCCAATTGCTGACTTCTTTTTGGACTCAAGAAATGGTGTAAAGTTTGGAAATAGCGGGCCAATAAGAGCTTTGCTTGCGTCGGCTTAAGGTTAATGGTGTAGGTCAGACGTATAAATGGTCATCTATGAGACCAAACTACAGCAAAATAGAAAGACATAGTCAGAATTCTGACTAATGACTTTAACACATCATTATCGCTCAGCGTACTCAAACCACAAGAGGAGCGATGTCTGATCTTAGAATACAGTGATGGAAAGTTGATTGTTCATATCAAAGTTACAGAATATATCTAGCAGTTACACTATTTGAGACAGTATACATCTAATCAGAAAACTGAAGTAACTTTGCCTGGAGATTGATGAGATGAATAAAAGAAAACCAGTTTGACTAGTAAATAAAGTCTTAAAGTCGTTGATCCCTGTATAAAATGACAGTGGCAATTCAGCGAGGGATAAAAAGTAAATAATCTAACAATAACATGGTAGTGGAGTGTAAGGTTACAATGTACTCGAAGCGTTTCCTGTGACGGATATAACGACCGGCTTCTAACTGAAGTTCGTGCTGATAATGTTGTTTAGAAGAACAACAAAAGCTCCACGACTCAACCATCCAGCTCAGAGAACAAAACTACACCTCTAACGACCGAAAATCTCAGTAAGCATGACTATGTATGTATGGATATATATATTTATACAGAGGTTATTTGTACAGTGAAATATGCAAAGAGACTATAGTTGTGAAGATAATCTATGATGTCTCAGCTCCACTCCCACCATTCTCATCATCTGTATCCACACCGCTGGACTGACTCTCTTCACTTAATCTTTCCCAATAATCTGACGGTACATCAAATGCTAATTCTGATTTTCGTGAAGTAGTATCTACTACACTGGATTCAATATTATTATCACAGTGATTATTATTGTTATTATCACTAATACTAGCTTGAGTATTCGTCTCTTCATCGGATGAAGAACTATCACCTCCAAGATATTCATCCCAACTTTGTAATCGACTGGCCTCTTTATCTTTAGATTCAGATACTGAATAATTAGTTTTACCATCCCAACGTTCTGCTTCTAATTGTCTAGGTCCTCCAGAACCAGGATAATCAACAAATAATGCCTTAGATAGAAATTTGATTCCTGTATCTGCTTCTTCTGGTGTAGAAAATGTTACACTGACAACGCCTTCTGGATGAGCCTAATTGTTTGGAACAAGAGAGGAAAAAAGTGAAAAAAATTCATTCAGTGGACAAAAATTGTATCATACATAAAATCTACCAAGAGTACAGATAATCAATAATTTAGAATAAATGATCACCAGTGATCATTCTACGTTTATGAGATACTGTCATCATCTAAGAATAGGAATATTAAACAAATACAATGCACAAATGGAACCGATCTCCACAAACCCATTACTCCCGACTAAACTAATCAGCTTAATAATAACTTGGTTCAATGTATTCCGGAAGTGGTTGGTGAAGCTGAGAACTGTTTGAATTGAAACATCTGTAACTAATAGCATTATATTACAAAGTCACTAAAGTTGAAATAGAATACCGACCTAGTGTTTAGGCGCTTGCCACAACATCTGAAGGGCCCGACACCTGATGGGTGCGTACTGTTGATTAATCCTACACTAGAACGAAAAAGCTTCTCAATGCTTCTTAATTTTTAATGGCACTGCAACCTAGACCAATCGATGATGAATACAACTAAAAAAATAAACCAGACTCGACAAAACCCCTGCACCTATAATATCAAAGATTATCTTCATTACGTTAACTATACTGAAATAGATCATACTACAAAAGGTTTCCATTTAAAGACCCATTATCACAGACGTACATTATGCGTTAAAGCATCTAAACACTAATCAAACATTTTATTTATTTAAACACATATATATTGGTACAAAAGGGCATCAGGTACATATGCGCCACACAAAATAATGAAAGTAGGAAGAGAAGGGATGAAAAGATAAGGCGGACTGAAATGTACAACCAGAAGACTCTTTCAGTTAGGAAAGTTAGAACCATTCTTTATGTATAAAGTAAAAGAAGGTTGCAGCAGGATCGCCACTGGCTTCTATTCTGAGCCATATCTGATAACGTCTCTAGCCACTGTGTTGCACCATCTCTCGGACCCCAACCAGGGAGTCGTGAAGGACCAACGGAAGCTAGCCCTTTGCAGCTCTCTTTCATGCCACGACACCATGTCATACACTGACCTCCTCTCCGCTTTTTTCAACCAGTCCCAGGGTCGGCAAATAATGCACGACGCGGAAGTCTCTGGGACGACATTCGTAAAACATGTCCGAGCCACCGAAGTCGGTGTTTCAAGATGGTGACACCAATTGAATTATCGTCTCTGCGCCCGAACACACGATGCCGAACCTCTGCATTACTAACATGGTGTTGCCACTGGATGTCAGCAATCCTTCGGAGACAACGATGATCGAACACAGAGAGACG